CTGCCCGGCTGGCGTTCGTCGCCGCCGCCGCCGCCAGCGGCGGTTTCGGTCTCGTCCTCGCCGTCCTCGTCGTCCTCGTCGTCCCCCTGCCCTCCCGCCCGTCCCTCCCCTTGCCGGGGGGAGGGTCGGGCAGGGACGAGGGAGGAGGGAGCACGCCACTTTTTGCGTGGGCGGCAGCAGACTGCCCGACGTGAGCCCAGGGAGGCGGGCGCGAGGACGAGGCGGGGGGAGAAGGGGAAGGGGAAGGAGGGGCGAGGCAGGGAGTGGGAGGGGGGCAAGCGTGCCAAAAGAACGCACGCGGGGCGAGGGAAGGGGGAGAGAGGCAGAGAGAGAGAGAGGCGGGCCGCCTCCGAGAGCGGAGGACGAGGACGGAAGAATCATTATCATGATGAATCGAGGGCTAGATGTTCGACATCTCCCAACATCCACTCGGGAAGACTGGCGCCCGAGTGGCCTCAGGAGGCAGCTTCACTTTGCTCCCCTGCCGGAGGACGGATATGTTTGCCATCCTTGCACCTGCCAAGACGATACAACAGGGAGGACGACGCCTCCTCCCTGAGAAGTGACTCTGCACCGAATTGGAGGGTCAACCAACGAGCTCGATCAAAAACCATCCCAAGCTGCAATTGAGACCAGTGAGAGAGAGAGAGAGAGAGAGAAAAAAAAAAAAAGAGAGAGAGAGAGAGAGAGAGAGAAAAAAAAAAAAAAAAAAAAAAAAAAAAAAAAAAAAAAAAAAAAAAAAAAAAAAAACGACAAATAAAGCGTCGTGCACCTCGGGCGGGGCAGAAGAGCAAAATCGGGAAGGAGGGCGAGCGGCTCATCCCCTGCACTCCAAAGCCGGAGAACAACATCCGACGGAGGAGCCACCAACCCTGCCAGACCTGAAGCGCAACTGGATCACCCGACGGTGAGCCGAAGACTGGACATAGCGCGAAAGTTGTGGCACAAACAGGGCCGACAGCCGTGAGCTGGGACAGAACAGACTAGAATGAAGAGAACCGAAAGTCCGAGCGAGAGAAGGCTGGAACCTTCATATTCGTATTCATCCGGGTTGAGACCGAGCTCGAGAGCAGCTTCCCCCTCCCCCGAAAACATCTCTCAGAGGCGCGCGAGCTAGTCCACCTCCCCGGGCGAGACATGGACTACCGCCTGCAAGGCAATGAAAAAGGTCGAGACGAGGCCGGCAGCGAGCTTGCGCACTAGCTTTCATAGACGCGCACACCTGTCAACCCGATCAATGTCCGACGAATTAGCCTGAGGGTGAGACCTGGCCACGTTCTGCGCAGCTGTGTCGGCAAACTCTATGCCGATCCTGCAAAGTATTTCCTCCTCGGAGATACCGTCCTCATCGGCCCTTTGGTGAGCTTTGACACTGGAGAGGGCGCCGATGCGAGGGGGGGTCGCATACATAAATGCACCAGCATACCATCGCTTGTAGGACAACCCTTCGCTAGGAGGAAGCGTAAAATGCTTACAGACGGACAAACAAACTGACACAAAAAAACCGAACGAGCACGTACGCGCAGGGCTGCCATAGCGAAGGAGAGGATTGGCCCGCTGAAGCGGTCTGGCGAACTGGGGAATGAACGGGCCCTGAGATGAAGCACTGCGGGGAACACCCAACCCAAAACAAATCCATGATGGGATGCCCAAAACAACTCCCGTCAATGAAAATCAATCCCTGGATCTCGCCGTTGGAGGCGTCCTCCACGAGGTCCTCCTCCTCGGCCGAAGAAGCGATGGTGACACCGCCAGGGCTACGGGTGGCAGGCCAGAGCGATTCGAGTCGCTCGAAAAGACCGCGATCGAGAAGAACCTGATGCGACTCCGAGAAGGGCCCTCTTGCTTACTCTACGGACTGGGCATGGACGCATCCATGTCAGACATCCTCAACTTCAGAACATTCGTACAGCCGATGATACATGGAGTCCCTACCACGGCGACCAATACGGCAAAGAGGCTAAGCATCGGCCGTGCTGTAACCCGAGCTGGCCGCACAGTCAGCCGTCCAGGCCCCGCAGAAGCCCAGGTTCCTGATGGACCCCATTTTTTCAGAGAAAAAGAAAACTGCCTGAAACGAAGCTGGGATTTCAAAAAGTCGAAACACGCACGCCCCAAACTAAGCCCGAATTGTTGAATCCACCTGAGCTTCCAAGTCCCTGCAAACCACTCTCCTGACGACGTCTTCTTCGAAAAGGCCAGGACGAATGAACGTGAGAAAGAGACAGGAACACCATCTTGCGCAAGGAGCGTGGCGTAGTTGAGCATGGAACAGCCCGGTTTTTCGATGGATATGGAAAAGCAGCGACAGGGCCGCTGACAGCTCTGCACGAAGACTGCTGCAGCTTGCCTTGAAAAACAGAACGCCAGTAACTCTTGAGCTACTGGTGCGGCATTCCTCCCAATATCTTGCGCAACTGAGCCGCCCAAACCTCCTTCCCCCCTCTCACACTTGTTCGAAGAGGGGGGGAACCGCCGCGAAGCTCCAGAGGTGCTGCCACAACCCCTGCGCTGCCTGCAGGCGGTGCCCGCCTGGGCGGACAAAGTCTGTCCCCCGCGAAAGACAGCCGCCAAAAGAGGAGGTACCTGTGACAGGTATTGGCCGGGAGAGCTGGCGAGAAAGGGGCGGAAATTCGGGCGGCAACAACAATGCGAATCGACCCCAAAACGTATCGGCGCCGCGCCGGGAGCAAGGCGAAGCGAGGGGAGGATGAGAAGAACCATGAATACGAGCGCGCAACACTGCCACAACGGAAAGCCGAACACCCGCTGGAGGCGCAAAAACTCCTCCGCACCGCACGACGCAACTCGTGCATCATACCCTCGTGGCAAGGCCCCCCTAGTATTCCAAAGGCGCAGGCACAATGCATAGCGCCTCATCTGTCAGGACGGGACAACCAGAGGAGAAAATTGGAGTCACTGCGTACCGGGCGTGGATAAACAAAAACTACGCTGGCGAGAAATCCGGCTTCAGCGCAGCCGGGCCGAGGGCTCCGAATGACCACGGACACTCTTGCCATGCATTCCATTTGGTAAATGGAAAAGGAGAAACGCGAGAGGGGGGACTCACCATTGAGTGGCTCACGCCGTCGCCCTCACAACGCCGTATCCCAGCACTGCTATCAAGACCTCCTTGCCCATCTTGATGGTGCTACGGCTGATGAGGCCAGTCAGGGCCTAGTTAAGTATTGTTGGTAGCCGCCCCCATGCAAGATGGAAGCTGCAAGGTGACGGGCACGGGTACTGGCACTGGTGCGCCGTGGACCCAGCAGCGCAACGCCCTGCGCTAGGGTCGTGCATTGAATTCAGCCGCTGGGAGGTCGTAGTCGTCGAGTACGAGTTGGAGTCGGGGACCATGTTGGAGTCGGGGCTGGCGTCAGCGCTGGCGTCAGTGCTGGCGCCGGCGTTGTTGTAGGCGCTGACGTTGGTGCCGACGCAAACACAGGTGATCATGCTGGCGTGGGTGCTGTTGTCAGTGCTGGGGTAGTCGTCGGCACTCGTGATGGCGTCGGTGATGACGTCGATGCTGGTGTGGGCGCTGGCGTTGGTGCTGTCGCAGGCGCCGGCGTTCGTGCTGGCGTTAGGGCTGTCGTCGGCGCTGGTGTAGGCGCTAGCGTTGGTGCTGGCGCCATCGCAGGCGTTCATGCTGGCGATGGTGCTGGCGTCGTTGCTAGTGTAGGCGTCGGCGTTGGTGCTGGCGTCGCTGGTGACGTTGGTGCTGGTGTAGGCGCTGCCGTTGGTGCCGGCGCAATCGCAAGCGTTCATGCTGACGTCGGTGCTGGCGTTAGCGCTGGCGTAGGCGTCGGCGATTGTGCTGGTGTCGGTGCTGGCGTCGAGGCCAGCGAAGGCGCCAGCGTTGGTGCTAGAACTAGTGCGCACACGCACTGTCTCCGTGACATTTTGATGTGCTTTCTGTGGAGGGGGGGCAGGATTTGTCCCCCGAGCTCTGGTCACCTAGCTGCAGCCCAATGTCCGCCCGACAGGCGCCGGCGGTCGTGCTTGCGTCAGTGCTGGCGTCAGTGCTGGCATCGGCGTTGGTACTGGCGTCGGTGCTGGCATCGGTGCTGGCTCAGGCGCTGGCGCCGGTGCTAGTGTAGGCGTCGGCGTTGGTGCTGAGGTAGTTGTCGGCATTCGTGCTGGCGTCGGCAGCAACATCGATGCTGGTGTGGGCGCTGGCGTTGGTGCTGTCGCATGCGCCGGCGTTCGTGCTGGCGTCAGGACTGTCGTCGGCGATGGTGTAGGCGCTAGCGTTGGTGCTGGCGGCATCGCAGGCGTTCATGCTGGCGATGGTGCTGGCGTCGGTGCTAGTGTAGGCGTCGGCGTTGGTGCTGGCGTCGCTGGTGACATCGGTGCCGGTGTGGGCGCTGGCGTTAGTGTAAGGAGACTGTTCTTGTTCCCCACATCCTAAGTGGGGTTCTTGTTTTCTTTGCACACCCTCCGCGCAGGATCTCTCCTCCTCCTCCTCCCTCTCCTCTCCTGATCCTTGCTTCCTCCTCCTCCTCCTCATCATCATCATCACTCATCACTCATCATCATCATCATCATCATCATCATCATCATCATCATCATCATCATCATCATCATCATCATCATCATCATCATCATCATCATCATCATCATCACTCACTCACTCACTCACTCCTCATCATCACTCACTCACTCATCATCATCACACACTCATCACTTCGTCATCACTCACTCGTCTGTGAGTGAATTGTGAGGAAGTCTCAGGCGGGAGCCCCCTCCCTATGGGTCCCGCACTTCACGTTTGTAATCCGAGCGGGTCATCGGCATCCTGTAACTGCTGTCACTTTTGGGCTCCTCAGGCCTGAATTTGGAGGAAGTATCCAGCGGGAGCCTCGTATGTCAGTGAATTCCAAGGAAGTCTCAGGCGGGAGCCCCCTCCCTATGGGTCCCGCACTTCACGTTGGTAATCCGAGCGGGTCATCGGCAACTTCTAACTGTCGTCACTTTTGGGGCTCCCAAGCCTGAATTTGGAG